TAAATCCATGTTCTACCATTTACTATGTCAGTGACCTTGGGAAACTCACAGTATCTCTCACAATTATTTTTAAATTGCAATAATAGTTATCTACCTCAAAGCAATGCTTTAAAGAGTAATTGTGATGACGTAACATGGAAGTGCTCAGCACAAGCTTGGCATTCTTCGAGTGACTAATTCTAGTTTACCCAGAACTTTCTTGGTTTTAGCACTGAAAGTCTGGCAGCTGAGGACTTCTTCAAACCCAGGTAAATTGCAATAGTTAGTCATCCTAGCACTCATTGAAAATTGGTTGAAGGTGAAAGATGTCAGTGGTATACATTTAAAAAAGAACATCTAAAAGTATCAGGTAGACAAGCCCACACTCTACTTACCACACATGAAGAGATTGTGGCTAAGATTGCATCAGCATATCTGTGCATCCTGGATTCTCAGACCGTGAAAATAAACTCTGCTGCAGTTCTGAGAAGTTCTGCAATGAGCTGGAGATGTCTGGTCTGCTGTTTCCATCACTCTGGTCTTACCAGGAAGACTCCAGGTCTTCCCTTACTGCTTTTTCTGAAGGCTGGAACAGGGCCTCTTTCACACCATCAACAAGACTGGTCTAGAACATTTCATTGCATTGGACCCCGAAGTTTGGGGTCTCTGAAAGGGAAGTGCAACGCCACTAATGTTGGAGATGGCGATTTTGAAGCCAACCATCAAACCTGACCAGGCAGAGTCCCAGGTCAGGCCTGAGTTGGCCGCCATGAAAACCAAGTATGCCCCAGCCTCTTCAGAGTCCACCACCCTGTAGGGCTCACCTTCTTCCGTTCTTCCTGGAGCTCTCACCTGTAGCCTTCCTTGCACTGTGCACATCTCCATCCATCTACCCATAAATGACAAGCTTTCTCACCATGCAGATCTATGCCAAGGCACTGCTCCCTCTTGGGAAGTTCCTCCAACTCCCAGGGAGCCTCTTATGGTCCCTGATGCTTACCTGACATACCACATTACAAGTTACATCACAGTTGCCTCTTTGTTTGTCTCATCCACCCCACCCCCAATCTCAATCTGCTTCAGCACAAGGACTGTGTCTTGTTTACCTTTCTTTCCTCAGTTCCCACCACAGTGCCTGGCACATAATGGATACTTGATAAATGATCACTGATTAAATGAATAAATGTATGAATAAATGCCTTTCACTCTATTTGGCTCAGTTTTCCAAAGACTGATATGTGGGAAGTAGAATAAAATGCTCCTTTTACTCCTTAGGAGCCACAGTTTGCTCCAGCTAATGAGCCGACAAGGGGAGGAAGAAGCCAAGCTCACCACTTGTACAGTTGCACAGACATGGACACCGACTGACACATTTGACACCCAGGGACTGCCTGTCCCAAGGCAAGACCAGGCTTGGTAACCACTCCTGCAGAACATCCTGCTCTCTGCCTGCACTGATTACTTAAGAAGTCAAGAATAAAAGTAAAGTCTTGAATGAGTTTTCTTTCGTTTCAAAAACAAATGACACAAACCTGGCCTGGCCCACTTGACAAACTCCAGTGCTTTGTGGATTCCCTGTAATTGGGAGCTTCTGCCCTCAGCTACTGAATTACCCACCCGCAGACAGAAGCCAGGGAAGCCAGGTAGTCTGGGTAACACACAGAAGAATGATTAGCAGACAGATCCTGAAGTAGCTGGCCCTCTGGACAAAGCGGGAGCATGAGGTCAGAACGGTGAGTGGGCATGTGTGCTGCAGCGGAGGCCCGTGGCACCCTGCCAGCCGCGCCACTTCATGCATCACGTGTCTCATTGGAGAAAAGAAGAATGTCTTCCAGAAATCCCAGGCACCTCAACATCTGGTTTAGTGCTCCTTCCAGCAGCCTGAATAAAATGATGTGCTGCTTTCAAAATCAGGTCAAAGTAATAGAGTAGAAGGATGTTTTGACAAATAGCCTTCACTCCATCTGGTAAACAAGAGAAGAAGAAAAAATAAGTCAAGACAAACCCTTGTAAAGGGAAGCAATAATGAGCGGGTAGCTCTGGTATTCTTGGGGTGAGTAAAAACATTGAAATTCAGGATCTACTACAGCTTGTCTGCTAGGATGCTAAACCAGGAGGGGGAGCAACTGCATCTCATAGGCTTGTTTTACTAGGAATTTGCTGTTATGTGTCTGCTATTTGGAAGGCAAGTATTATATTGTATGTGGTTCTCCAAGAAAGTATAAAGTATCAAGGCACATAAAGTGTCAGACTGAACAGCTGCAGCCATCCCTGGGGTTAGGGAAGGGAGCAAACATTAATTGAATGTCCTTATGTTCTTACACAATATTCTTCAATGTAATCCTTGCAACAAAGCTGAAAGGACAGTGTTATCACCACTGCTTTATGACTTAGATTAAGGAGATTAATCAAGTGTACACAACTTAAGAAAACTTTGGAGCTGGATCTGAACCGGAGGACCGAAGCATGTGTGTTCCCTTGTCCTGGAGTGTGCAGTCCTACCTCCAAGCTGTGACCTCGGCATTGCCATCTTAGGCACTTTCTCTCCTATTTACTGCAGATCCCTGTGGGCTCCTAGTCACAGCAGGCTCTGGTCAGTGCATTCTCAGCAAGCGTGGACCTGTATAAGCTCTGTTTCTCTCTTGCAATTTTGCCTCCTTCTATTATATTGGAACTTGGTATATTTTCCACAAGATGGAATATCAAGGTATCTGTAAAAAACTCACACTCACTTATGCCCTTTTTTTTAAATTTGAAAATCCAAATTCTCCATCTGCTCATGAGCCTTGTCTGGAATTAACCAGACAGAGTGATATCCCTACATTATAGAGTGGGTGCAGAGTTAAGGAAGTGGATTGAATTTACAGTGCTTACTCTTTTTTGCCAAGAAACTCATCCAACTGGGGTTGGAAAACCAATCCCCAAATGTTGGGTATTAATTGGACCCTTGGCCAAAGCAATCACTCTATCAGCCAATTAAGGTCCGTGGAGCAAGAGCAGACTGTCATCCAGAGCCAACGCAGACGGCTCGAGGCCTGGTCACACACTATTTCTCTCCCGCTGCCGCCAAACCGTGACTCTGCCCCTTTGTCTCCAGTGACTTGTTTCCCTTCTTCAGTCTGCTGGCAAAACTAGGGGTCTTTTCAAGCTCTCCAGGACCCAGCTACCCATCAATATTAAAAAAGAAGCCACGAGTAGTTATTGAAACTTGTGGAAAGTTTGCAGATTTGCAGGGAAGGTTTTAGAGGAGTTTATGTTCTGGAAAGAGACAAAGAGAAGTGGGGAGCCAAGAAGAGCGGGCATTCTGTGGACCAGCGGATGTGTCAAAAGAGCCTAGAAGACAAGCCACTTTCTTATCACCTGCCTTTCCAACATTAAAAGGAATACATAGTGAGGACCCACACTTTTTCCTTTGCTGTTTGCAGCATTGTATTTATTAGTAATAAACATGTTGCCCATCATTATTGGTAAGACACATCAACCAGGAGCTCTGGTACCCACTGGACTTAGATGGAGTCTAGACTCCATCATGTCCCAGTTGGAAATCCTGGGTAGGGAACTTAAATTCTCAAGCTTCCACACTGTCAACCTCAGGTTGTCAAGAGGTTAAGTATTTCACAATCAACACAAGATATGTACTCAATAAATGTCGCTAACTATTGTTATTTTTCTCTGTTGACTATTTTTCCAAATTTTCTCTAACTCAGTTGGTGACTCCCCTCCATACAAGAACAAGTATAAAATTAAACATTAATTGGAGACCCAAATCTGAATAACTATTTCTAACTTAAGCCAATGGCAATCTTATTCTGCCACATGTAGACCAGTTTAAGCCCTAGGTTTTCTGGTGAGTTGCATAATATGGGTGCTTGACCCCATGTATAAGAAGCAGTAAGTCTCTTTCGATATATGACCAGAAAAATGGAGAACTGAGGAGACTACATTACAATTTTAGCCAAAGAGAGTATTTTCATTTGAAATAGCCCATCATTTCAGGAAAAGCGAAGACTTCTTAGGGACTAAATTATCTGGAAAGTTGCTTCATGCTCCCCAAGCATCTGCAGACAGTGAAGGGACTTTTCTACAGCACACAATCTGCATGGCAGCCCACTGGTGCCATATGACCAGTTTATGATCAACTGAATGTTGGGATATCACATCTATCTATGTGATGAGGGTCAAGAGTTCACTGACAAAACAGCATGTCCCTGTGCTGAAGGCACTTCTGCCTGCCATGTGCAGCTCCACCCCACGGGAACCCAGTTCTGCTACCATGTCAGTACCTTTTCAATACCTGCTTTGCCCCAACACTGTTAGTTGAACCCTGCTGCCCTGCCATGTCTACTCTGCCCACCACTAGATACCAGATACCTCGGGTGGGATGCAACTCTTGCTTGAGAGGACACTTATTCGGAGGGCCCAGAACTTGCAACCATAACTTTTAAAAACTGCATTTTTTAATGAGTTGCATTTAAAAGTTGAAAACTTGAATGATGAAAGAGAATCACTGATCTGATGCCTCCTGCATACCCCCCACTGGTGATTGAGCCTGCCATCTGGGTATGTGCCCTTGACTGAAATCGAACCTGGGAACACTTCAGTCCTCAGGCCAATGCTCTATCCACTGGGCCGAACCAGCTAGGGCAAGATTTTACTTTTAATTTCAGTTTACTCCTCAGCCAAATGGGAATAAAGGGTGTTGTGAAATTCAAGGGAGGATTACCAAGGTGCAAATCAGATTATGCATATCAACAAGGTTAGTTCCTCCTAGCCTGCAGAAATAAGAAGAGATTACATTAAGCTGACTTCTGAAGATCCTCCTACCCCTACCCTCACCCACGTGTCCCACCTCCAGTGAGGAGCTTTGGTGGGTGAGGTCTTAAAGAGATTCACCCTCCTAGCGGTATATATAGGCCAGGCTCACATTACTAAGCATTTAACTGGTAGGAGACTGGCTTCGGAGACTCTTCTTGGAGACACACTTCAGGGACTCACTCAAAGGAGCAGGACCCAGCATTTTGTTTGGGCGCCGAGCGGGAGTTGGTGGCAGCGGTTGCGGTGGCACTGACGAAAGGCAGGAAAGGGCCGGCCGTGTGAGCAGGTGGACCGACTGAGCCCAGCAGACAGCCAGCCAACAGCGAACTGACCGAGCAGTCTACCACTTACGCATCTAGCCAACCAAACCAGTTCACCCGAGCCCCTTCACCATCAACTCAGGTTCGGCCGGCCCCCGGCCCGCCTTCCGCAGCCGACGTGGCAGCCCCGGGAGGAGCACTGGCGTCCTTTTCCTTCGATCCTCGGGATTTGAAGATGGCTGCACAGTCAGCACCTAAAGTTGTGCTAAAAAGCACCACCAAGATGTCTCTAAATGAGCGCTTTACTAATATGCTGAAGAACCAACAGCCGATGCCAGTGAATATTCGGGCTTCGATGCAGCAACAGCAGCAGCTAGCCAGTGCCAGAAACAGAAGACTGGCCCAGCAGATGGAAAATAGACCCTCTGTCCAGGCAGCATTAAAACTTAAACAGAGCTTAAAGCAGCGCCTGGGTAAGAGTAACATCCAGGCACGGTTAGGCCGACCCATAGGGGCCCTGGCCAGGGGAGCGATCGGAGGACGAGGCCTACCCATAATCCAGAGAGCCTTGCCTAGAGGAGGACCACGTGGGGGACGTGCCACAGGAACCCTACTTAGGGGCGGGATGTCACTTCGAGGTCAAAACCTGCTCCGAGGTGGACGAGCCGTAGCTCCCCAAATGGGCTTAAGAAGAGGTGGTGTTCGAGGTCGTGGAGGTCCTGGGAGAGGGTGCCTAGGGCTTGAAGCTATGGGTCGTGGCAGAATCGGTGGTAGAGGTCGGGGTATGATAGGTCGGGGAAGAGGGGGCTTTGGAGGCCGAGGCCGTGGACGAGGGAGAGGTGCCTTTGCTCGCCCTGCACTGACCAAGGAACAGCTGGACAACCAATTGGATGCATACATGTCGAAAACAAAAGGACACCTGGATGCGGAGTTGGATGCCTACATGGCACAGACAGATCCTGAAACCAATGATTGAAGTCTGCCTTCCCTCCTCTGAGAGACTTGTTAAAAAGTTACCACATCTGTAAATAACCTTGAGATGACAGATGAGAGAAGAGCCTACCTGACTGATGCTGGAAGGACTTATCACAATAGACTATGGACTTACTTGCCACCAGTGTGTGCATTTAGTGTGTTCCTTTTACTTTTTTGATAACTATTATATGAAACCCTTTTTTCCTCTGAAAAAAAATAAAAATAAAAAAGTTGAAAACTCATGAATTCCTTTAATAGCATAAAATTAATAAAAATACCTAAAGAAATAATAAAAGTGGGATATTGCTCAGTTGCCCCCATTGATATCGACATTCATGAGTGAGACGCTCAAACACAAAATCAGTCAGCTTAGTGCTACTTCTCCTGAGCACCAGAAAGTCAGGCTAGAGCTCAAATCCTCCTGCTGAGTGCGCTGGCCTGGGCCCCAGGTGCCAGGGTGGTGAAGGAGGACAAAGGGGAATGATAATCATCTTCATAGCCATCATTCCCTATCACTGGGGACTAAGCTTTATGTCCATTTGCTCATTTTATCCCATCAACAATGCTATAGAATAGGTACTTCTGTGCACATGTTGCAAATGAGGATTCTGAGACTCAGAGACTCAAGAGTAACTTGCCCCAATTCAATAGTTAGGATGTGCAGGATTTGGGATCAAAGCCAGGACTGATCGGCATATAGCATTTGGCATATATTACAAAGCCCCAACCTTAACTACTATATCAATGTGTTGTGAGCTTTAATGTGCATTTGAGTCACCTGAGGAATCTTCTCAAAATACAAATTCAGATTCTCTGAGGTGGGTGAGGCCTGAGGTCCTGCAATCATATGAGAGAATTGTCTGAGACCCCAACCCAGTTTGGTTTGGTGCTCACAGAATAATAGAGTTTTTTTTTTTTCTTTGCTCCATTGGTGGAGATTTCCTAGAAGTTGCAGGATATCTTCCTTGTAATTTTTCCTCGACACTCTGACTTTACTTATGTCTCTCACCTTTGTTTTCCCTCCATGCCCCACCCGCAACAGTAACTTGCTCCAGGCTCACTTTGCTATAGTGTCTAGGTAGGAGATCCCACAACGTGTCTGCCACCAGAACTATGATTCCCAGCATTCCTGGTGCTCTCCACACTCTGGGCTTCCGCTTCTGGTCCAGGGGCTGCCACCAGAAATATAATTTCCAGAATTCCTGGTGCTCCCCGCACTCTTGGTTTCTGCTTCTAGTCCAGGGGCTGCAGAAACCAAAAGTACTGGGAACTTCAGCCACCCCCGGTCCGGACTGACAGGACCAGACACTCTGCTAGCCACAGAGAGCTGTCTGACCAACAGCTGATTCTGGCTGATTCTGTGGGGGTGGGACTTCCTCCTCCCTGCTGTCAGTCTCCACTGTAGCAATGAGGAAGCTGGGGCGACCGAGGGAGCCAAGCCCCCCAAGCCACCCACTCTCCACCCGCTCTCCCACTCTGCTTTCCATCTAGGGGCTTGGGGGGCTTGGCTCTCTCGGTTGCTGGGAGCAACAGAGGGAGCCAAACCCCCCAAGCTGCCTGCTTTCTGTCAGCTCTTCTTCTCTGCCAAGCCCCCAAAGCCCCCGGCCGCTCGGCACCTGCAAGCATGCGCACTGCCCACAGGCCCACCATCTTTGTCAGGTTAATTTGCATACTCACTCCTGATTGGCTGTGGGCATTGTGGAGGGATGGTCAATTTACGTATCTGTCCATTGTTAGTATAGATGTGGTGTATCCCATTGATTAATTTGCATATTTTGAACCATCCTTACACCCCTGGACTGAACCCCACTTGATTATAATGTAATGCCTTTTTAATGTATTATTGTATTTGATTTGATAATATTTTGTTTAGGATTCTTGCATCCATGTTATCAGAGATACTGGTCTGTGTAATTTTCTTTTTTGTGTGTGTTGTCCTTGCTTGATTTAGATATCAGTTTAATGTTAGCCTCATAAATTGAGTTTGGAAGTATTCCATCCTCTTCAACTTTTTTGGAAGAGTTTGTGGAGGAGAGTTAATAAATTTTCTTTGAATGTTGGGTAGAATTTGCAGAAGCCATTTGGTGCTGAACTTCTCTTTGGTGTGAAGATTTTTGATTACTGTTTCAATTTCCTTACTAGTTATTGGTCTATTTAGATTTTCCAGTTCAAAGTTCGGTCTAGGAAGGTTATATATTTCTAAGAATCTGTCCATTTTATATAGGCTATCAATTTTGGTGGCATATTGTCTTTCATAATAATCTTGTATAGTCCTTTGTATATCTGTGGTTTCCATTATACTTTCTCTCCTTTCATTTCTGATTTTATCTATTTGAATCTTTCCTCTTTTTTCCTTAATAAGTCAGCCAGAGATTTGTCAACTTTATTTACCTTTTCAGACAACCAGGTCTTTGTTTCATCAATTTTTTATAATCCTCAACCAAAAATATGTGTCTATTGATTTTAAAGAAAGAGAGAGAGGAAGGGGTAGAGAAACATCAATATGAGAGAAAAAAATTGATTGGTTGCCTCCTATATAATCCCCTACCAGGAATAGACATGACTAGGTACATGTACTGACCAGGAATCAAACCCACAACCTTTTGGTGTAAGGACAATGCTCCAACCAACTTACCCACCTGACCAGGGCATTATTTTTTCTATTGTTTTTTTGTTCTCTATTTCATTTATTTCTGCTCTAATTTTTATTATTTTCTTCCTTCTACTAAGTTTGGGCTTCATTTACTCTTTTTGTTCTAATTCTTTAAGACAACATGTTAGATTTTTGATATTTTTCTTATTTCTGGAGGTAAGCCTGTAATGCTATAAACTTCCCTCTTAGTACAGTTTTGCTATATCCCCCAAATTTTGGTATGTCATATATTTATTTTCATTTGTGTCTATGTATCTTTTGATCTTTTGTTTCTTCTTTGACACAATAGTTTTTTAATAGCATGTTATTTATTCTCCACATATTTGTGGTTTTTCCAGCTTTCTTCTTGCAGTTAATTTTCAGTTTCATAACATTGTGGTAAAAAAATTATCCTATATAATAAAAGGCTAATATGCAAATTGACTGAACAACAGAACAACCAGTCGCTATGACACGCACTGACCACCAGGGGACAGACACTCAATGCAGAAGCTGCCTCCTGGTGGTCAGTGTGCTCCCACAGCGGGGAGCACCGCTCAGCCAGAAGCACTGAGCAGGGCTCATGGCTAGCGAAAGCAGCAGCGGTGGCGGGAGCCTTTCCCAACTCTGTGGCAGTGCTAAGGATTTCCAACTGGCAGCTTAGCAGGCCTAAGCCATCAGTCGGACATCCCCCAAGGGCTCCCAGACTGCGAGAGAGTGCAGGCTGGGCTGAGGCACACCCCCACCCCCACCCAAGTGCACAAATTTCATGCCCTAGGTTTCTAGTGTTTAGTATAATTTCAATCTTCTTAAATTTGTTGAGACTAGTTTTGTGCCCCAACTATGGTATATCCTTGAGAAGAATATATTCTATCATTAGGGGGTGGAAAGTTCTATAAATAGTATGTCCATTTGCTCTATTGTGTCATTTAAGGTCAAGATTTCCTTATTGACTTTCTGTTTGGATAATCTATATTGCTGTCAATGGGATATTTAAGTCCCCTAATATAATTGCATTTTTGTCAGTTTCTCCCTCTAGGTGTGTTAGTAATTGCTTTATGTATTTTGGTGCTCCCAGATTGGGTGCATATATATTGATAAGTGTTACATCTTATTTTTTAAAAAATATATTTTTTTATTAATTTCAGAGAGGAAGGGAGAGGGAGAGAGATAGAAACATCAATGATGAAAAATAATCATTGATCAGCTGCCTCCTGCATGCCCCCCATGGGGGATCGACCCCGCAACCCGGGCATGTGCCCTTAACCAGGAATCAAACCTGGGACCCTTCAGTCTGCAGGCCGACACTCTATCCACTGAGTCAAACCAGCTAGGGCAGTGGTCAGCAAACTGCGGCTCATGAGCCACATGCAGCTCTTTGGCCCCTTGAGTGTGGCTCTTCCACAAAATACCACGTGCAGGCGTGCATGTACAGTGTGATTGAAACTTCGTGGCCCATGTGCAAAAGTCGGTATTTTGTGGAAGAGCCACACTCAAGGGGCCAAAGAGCCACATGTGGCTTGCGAGCTGCAGTTTGCCGAACACTGGGCTATGGCAATGTGTTACATCTTCTTGATGACTTGTCCCCTTTATCATTATAAAATGTCCATCTTTGTCTCACATGACATACGTACAGCCACACCCACTTTTGCCTGGTTGCCACTTGCTTGGAGTATTATCTTCCACCTGCTGACTTTAAACCTATTTTTGTCATTGTAACTGAGATAAGTTTCCTGAAGGCAACATATAGTTTGGTCTGGTTTTTCAATCCAACTACTCTGTGCCTTTTGATTGGTGAGGTTAGTCCGTTAGGGTGATTATTGATATACTAGGGGCCCAGTGCATGAATTCGTGCACCTTGAAAGGAACTGTGGGCTGCGAGGCTTCAGTGGGAACAGGGGCGGGTCTTGGCCCATCCTCCGCACCCTGGCTAGGCTCCTCTGGCCACGGCCCACGATGCCCTATCTGCCGGCAGCCCTGCTCCCGCCGCCGCTGCTCCCATGCACTGATGGTGCCTGCCCCACTCGCACCACTGACTGTGTGGAGCGATTGGGGCCAGCACCAGCAGTGGGTATGAGCAGGGCTGGTGCTGTCAGTGGGTGCAAGTGGCAGATGCTGCCCTGATTGTCCATCAGGAGCAAGGGGAAGTGCAAAAGCCCTCAGAGGCGATCAGGGCCAGCAGCCACCACTTACACCTGCTGACAGTGCCGAGTGATTGGGGCTGGTGCCAGGCACCAGCAGCAGGTGCAAGCACCCAGTGAATTTTCAGTCACCACCAGAGGCTTGCCCAGATGACAACTGGTGTCCCACCTTGGTCTGGCACCTCCGCTCACCTGCTCCATCATCCCACCGCGGCCAATGCCCACCATGTTCTGCACTCTGCCACCTGCTGCTGACAGCCACCATGTTTCGCATGCATGCCCCCTGGTGGTCAGCGCATGTCTTAGCCACCAGTTATTTGGTTGTTCCGCCGTTCAGTCTATTTGCATATTAGGGTTTTATATAGAGAGATGAGGACTTATTTCAGCCTTTTTTTAATTTCATTTTCTGATTGCTCTGTAACTCCATTCTTT